AACTCATACGAAGATAGACCCACCATAACATTTTTATTTTATCCCTAAATTAATCCCTGATTTTGTAAATAAATATAAATTCAAGGGGTAATTCTGGCTTCTCATAAATATAGCTATCTTATGCTTGTTTTTTGTTAGTGAAACTGTAAAAGTGTTTTATCTATTTGCGGTGCGATCAAGAGTATTTTACAAAAAAAACAAGTACGGGGGCATGTTCGATAACAGAATTTTCGATGATGCATCTTCCTTGCTTTGTTTATATGTAAAATACGCCTGATTGCACGGCAAATAGATAGACATTTTCACAGTTTCACGAAAAAGAAACAAGCATAAGACAGCGTTGCCATGACAATGCTACTTTATAAAGCCCGGTCAGTTTGTAATATTAATTTAGGGGTAATACATCATTAAGGGTACTAATAAAATGTTTTATTTTTGGTCTTAATAATAATTTTGAACTTTGTTTTAGGGCATGGAAGAGTATTTTACACCTAAACAGTTTTTTTCTGAAATAAATAACCTAAGATGTTATAAAGAACAAATGTGCTTTATCCTCCTTTTTAGTGTTCTCCGCACTCAACAGAGGGTCTAACTGCGCTCAATTTTCAAAGCTAATGGATTTTTTCTCGAATAAGTTTATTATATTATTTTAACGTGAAATAAGATAGTAACAACCAAAAATTGTAGATTTGTAAAATTTATTCTCGATTAAGCTTATTTTCTAATTTAAAGGAAAAATAAGATAGTAAACCAATAAAAAATTGTAGCAGAGCAGTCTAAAGAAGTTTTACTTCAAAAATTTAGATCGTTTCTTTTATGGCTTTTGGGGTATCATTTAAAAGGTCTCCAGTAGAAGACGATTTTCACAAAAAAATGATCATATTGTAATAAATATATAAAACTTTATTGCAAAAATATTAGAATGTTAAAATTTATCGAATTGTTTTTCAAATATGTGTAGTATAAAACTTTCGTAACAAATACTGAAATTAACTATGTGATTTGTCCACAAAATATACACTTTTCACGCATTTTTACTAAACAAGCTTAAAGAAGTTTTACTTCAAAAATTTTAGATCGTTTCTTTTATGGCGATGATCTTTTATTGTGGGGTATCGTTTAAGAGGTCTCGACGAGTAGAAAACGATTTTCACGAAAAAATGATTATTTGTAATCATTTAAATACATAAATTTATAAATTAATTAAATTTAAATGAATGTTAAAATTCATCAATTTTTTTTTAAATATGTGAGATGTAAAACTTTCGTAACAAATACTAAAATTAATTATGAGATTTGTCAACAAAATATACACTTTTAATAAATTTGTAGTAAACGAGCTTAAAGAAGTTTTACTTCAGAAATTTTAAATTGTGTTTTTTTAGCATGTTGGGTGTCGTTTGAAAGGTCTTTTTGAATAGAACCCGAATACTGCAATTAACTATGTAATTTATCCATAAGATGCACACTTTTTACGCATTTTTATTAAACGAGCTTGAAGAAGTTTTACTTCAAAAATTTAAGATTGTATATTGTATGGCTTGTGGGGTATCGTTTAAAAGGTCTCGATGAGTAGAAAATGATTTTCACGAAAATATAAGCATTATAAATAATAAAAGTATAAAGGACTCTACTGACAAGGAAACTGAAATTAAAGATAAGAGATGGAAAAGGACTCCACTGACGAGCAAATGGAATAAACGACAAGAAATGAAAAAAATGACTTAAATAAAAGGCAAGAAATGAAAAAAAGAACTCAGCAAACTAAAATGAAAGACAAAAAATGAAAAAGGGACTTTACTGAGGAACAAAAATAAATAAAAGACAAAAAAGGAAAAAGGACTTTACTGACAAGCAAACTGAAATTGAAGACAAGAAATGAAAAAAAGACTCTACTAACAAGCAAACTGGTCAATAATTGTCAGGAAATGGAAAAAAGGACTCTACTGACGAGCAAACTAAAAATAAAAGACAAAAATGGAAAAGGGACTCTACTGAGGAACAAAAATAAATAAAGGACAGAAAATGAAAAAAGGACTTTACTGAGGAACAAAAATAAATGAAGGACAAAAAATGAAAAAAGGACTCTACTGACGAGCAAACTTGATTTGATAAAGTGAATATTTAGTAAAGGGACTCTACTGGCAACCAAACTGATATTAAAGGCAATTGAAAAAAGGACTCTACTGAGGAACAAAAATAAATAAAGAACAGAAAATGAAAAAAGGACTCTACTGACGAGCAAACATGATTTAATAAATTGAATATTTTGTAAAGGGACTCTACTGGCGACCAAACTGATATTAAAAAGGGACTCTACTGATGAGCAAACAAAAAAAATAATAAGGTGGAAAAAGAGCGTGTACTATTCTCAAATTTATCACTTTTTTCATCACTTTTAATCATGGCTTCTTAAACTATGGGGCGCGACCCTAACTATATATTGACATACGTATATATGTATGTTGTTTCTTAATAAATAAATCATCAAAAATAATAATTTCCCTTTTTTTATATTTGTGTGAAGTCGTTTGAACAAACTCGCAATCATAAATGGGGTCGCAAATGACAAAAGTTTGAGAAACCCTGCTTTGAACATTTAATTTTTTTCTAATATATATTTTTGTTAAAACATATTTGTAATTTATATTTTACACGCATATATTTTGTTCTCAAAATAACCAGGTATATCTATATTATATATTTAAATAAATCTTATCTAGAATTAAACCCAAGGGTTAATTTACGTGCTACAGTTAGTGGCGCCTCTATCGAGTGTGGACACAATTTAAATTGCGATCTATTTATACTTCAAAAAATATTATGGAAAGGCCATGTTATGAAGAACTTTCCATACTAATATTTACAAAGCCATTGCGGTTGCTATGCAGTCAGGCGTATTTCTCAAGTTGTCACATAAAAAATGTAACCTAAAAACCGCCCAAACGTCAAAAAAACGATGTTAGATAACAGAGTGTTTCTGACCCAGCTTCATAACATACGAGTGACTTTAAAAAATTAAATTGTGTTATTTGGCATGTTGGGTATCGTTTGGAAGGTCTTTTTGAATAGAATCCGGATATTGCAATTAACTAAGTGATTTGTCCACAAAATTTACACATGTAACAGAACAGTCTAAAGAAGTTTTACTTCAAAATTTTAGATTGTTACTTTTATGACGTTGCAGTGTAAAACTGCCTGAATGCACAGCAAATACACGACATTTTGACAGTATGATTCAGTAGCATAATATATGAAAGTTAAAGCGTAACAATGGCCTTGCCATAACATTGAGCTGTTATCCCTATGTATTACCCCGATTAAAAAAAATCTAATTTTCCCACGTCAATTTAAAATTGTGTTTTTATAAAATTTATATTTATGAAATTTAATTTAACAAAATCAAGACAAATAAAAAGAAAATCAAGCTACAAATTTTGTTCAAACTGTTTTTTTACCGGTTTCTTTAATACGGAGGCGGCTGATGCGAATACTGGTTCATCATTGCCTGCTGCGGCTGATTCAGCTGTCTTTGCAGCTGTGCAACCAGAGCAGGACTTCCCTGCTGCTGAGTGTTGGTCATCGCCTGCTGCTGGACTTGCTGCTGGGCCTGCTGCTGCTGCTGCTGCTGCAGGGCTAACATCTGCTGGCGCATCCTTTGGCTTTGCTGGGGATTCATTTGCTAGAAAGGTAAAAGACTAGTTGTAAATTGTGTTATGGCTTGAGGCAAGTTTGTAGAGATTTTTAGTAAACGAGCTTAAAGAAGTTTTACTTCAAAAAATTAAATAGTGTTTTTTTTGGCAGATTGGGTATGGTTTGAAAGGTATTTTTGAATAGAATCCGAATATTGCAATAAACTATGTGATTTGTCTACTAAATATACACTTTTTGCGCATTTTTATTAAACGAGCTTAAAGAAGTTTTACTTCAAAAATGTTAGATTGTGGTTTTTGGCATGTTGGGTATCGTTTAAAAGATATTTTTGAATAGTATCCGAATACTGCAATTAACTATGTGGTTTGTCCACAAAATATACACGTTTTACGAATTTGTAGTAAACGAGCTTAAAGAAGTTTTACTTAAAAAATTTAAGATTGTGTTTTTTGGCATGTTGGGTATCGTTTGAAAGATATTTTTTAATAGAATCCGAATACTACAATTAACTATGTAATATGTCCACAAAATATATACCTTTGACGAATTTTTAATAAACGACTTGAAGAAGTTTTACATAAAAAAAAATTAAATTGAGTTTATTTGGCATGTTGGGTATGGTTTGAAAAGTCTTTTCAAAAGAATCCAAAAACTGACATTAACTATGTGATTTGTCTACAAAATATACGCTTTTAATGAATTTGTAGTAAACGAGCTTAAAGAAGTTTTACTTCAAACATTTTAGATCGTATCCTCTATAGCATGTGGGGTATCGTTTAAAAAGTCTCGACGAGTAGAACATGATTCTCGCAAAAAAAAAGAATTTTATACATTATATACAAATAAAAACATTATATGCATAACCATATTATATTGCAAAAAAATATTAGAATGTTTAAATTCGTCCATTTTTTTCTAAATATGTCCAGTATGAAACTTTTGTAGCAAGTACTAAAAGAAAACATGTGATTTGAAAGCAAAATACACACTTTTTACGCATTTTTAGTAAACGAGCTTAAAGAAGTTTTGCTTCAAAAATTTTAGATTGCATATTGTATGGCTTGTGGGGTATCGTTTAAAAGGTCTCGACGAGTACAAAACAATTTTCACAAAAAATGATCATATTGTAATAGAAACATTAGATAGAAAGACATACTAAAATGCAAAAAATATCAGAATGCTAAAAGTTATTGATTTTTTTTTTCAAGTACATGTCAGTTGTATCAAATACTAAAATTAACTATGTGATTTGTCCACAAAATATACACTTTTAATGAATTTGCAGTAAACGAGCTTAAAGAAGTTTCACTTCAAAAATTTTAGATTGTATCTTCTATAGCATGTGGGGTATCATTTGAAAGGTATTTTTGAATAGAATCCGAATATCAAAAACACTTAAAAAAATTTCACTTTTCGGTTCATTGGTTAGTAATAATTTGAAGTTATACTTCTATTGCAAACGTAAAATTAGCACAAATACGTACTTGTGTCTGTCTTAATTTATTACATTTAAATTAAAATAAATATTTTATTCATTGTATTTAAAATGTAAAAATATTTTACTAGAATGAAGAGTTGACTATATTTGTGTATAGACAGGAACTGCAGTTTTAGAGATTCGACGATTGTCGTCGGCAACGTTCGCTCAGACATGTGACGTCACACAGTCCCTTTTATGTTTGAGCACTTATTTTGCGCTCGACTAGCAATCGATGTAATATAAGGTGTAAGATTTATAATTTTGTGACGGATTTTATAAGATTGTAGATGATTTTTCTACGTCTCTGGTTACTGTTTTTGCACAATCAAACTAATTCTTTTGTTCGAGTAAGTTGTAGTGCTTTTATATAAACGCACACACGTGAAATTTATATTCAAATATTAAAATATTAAATTAGTTATAGTAGGTTAAATTTAAATCTAACTATTATCCAAATACTGCAATTAACTAAGCGATTTGTCCACAAAATATACACTTTTAATGAATTTGTAGTAAACGTGCATAAAGAAGTTTTACTTCAAAAATTTTAGAGTGTATTTTTATCGCATGTGGGGTATCGTTTAAAAGGTCTCGACAAGTAGAAAACGATTTATACAAATAATGATTATATTGTAATAAAAACATAAAATTTAATCGCAAAATATATTACAATGTTATTTTTTTTTTTTTTTTTGCAAATATGTGAGGTGTAAAACTTTCGTATCGAATTAAAATTTGGAAAATCTGAATTATTCCCGAAAAAATGTCATTTGATAAATACAAAACATTATTTTCGATTCGTATATGGATAAAATCGTAATTTTTTTAACTTTTTACCTGAGGAAATTGTGGTACTTGATTTTGAGATCCAGGTTGACCGCCCCTTGGATACGGAGGTGCAGGTCCACCCATCGTGTTCATTGTCACATTTGGTGCTTGCTGCTGAAAAAAAAAACAAATAATATAAAATTAATTATGAAAACAAATGCGACTAATATGTAGAAATTTTGTAATTCTATTCACCTGCTGCATATACGATCCTCTATTCACCCTCTGCGCCATATATTCTGCATGTGCATTGCGTTGCTGCTGATTCATCATAGCCGTATTCTAAAATAAAAATTTGTAAGTCGAAATAAATTTTAAGAAACTTGGTCAAAGTCAAATTACCTGTTGATTAGTAAACTGCTGTTGGCCTTGAAATCCGCCCATCATAGCCTGCTGGTTAGTAGGTTGTCCAGTGTAACCAGGGTAATTTTGGTTCATACCTATGAAAAGTGAACAAAATTTTACAAATCTTGTAATCTAATCTAATTTTCCAAAGTAAATGCGAAACAAACCTTGAGGCATATTTCCATATTGCTGATTCTGGAACATTGCTTGTTGTGCCCCACTAATATTTTGCCCGGCCATCACTTGGTTGCTAGCCTGACTGCCCATACCTTTAGAAAACAATACAATGATTATTTATATATATATATATATATATATATATATATATATATATATTTATTTATTATCTTAGATATAAAAATGGAGCTCTCGGTCAAATGATACGCTAAAAGTCGAAAACGGCTAAACCGATTTGGCCAGTCTTAGTCTTGAAAAATTCGTGCCAATCCAGAGATTGTCGGGATGGGTGAGATATTATTTCAAAATTGCATAGAAACTTTACATTTTTAATTTGAAATTTTTTGTAGAAGCCTAATTTGAATGAAACAATGGACGGTGGCTAATACGTCAAATATCAAACGTTTATGACCGATGGTGTTCGATTACGTTTTATGTCTTACGTGAATATTATTTAATTATAATTAAATTGTAGTAAGTAGTTTTGTTTGTAGTTTTATTCATACACAAAAACGTTATTAAACGGATCGCAAGTGTTACTAGAAACTCAAAATATCAACTTTTTTGAAATGTTAATATGAAAATGCATTTTTCGGCATATTTTTCTCAAACACGGTGCTCTGAAAGTTCTCATTTGTATAATTATATACTCATTGGTATTTATAAAACATTTTCTAGGTTATATTATTTTTTATTTATGTTATTTCAATTCAGAACCTAAATTTGGTATCGATCAAAGGGACATTTTGTCGAATAACATTTTTCCAGTTATAATTTATCGAAAAATAGATAGTATTATATGAAGGTCCGGGGTTAAAAAGGTCCACCACCGATGTGTCAAAAATCAGTAAAGTTAAGCATTGTTTAACAACATTATTTGAAAGTAGAGGGAAAAAGATGTATAACCAGCTATAACCTTGATTCTCATGACTTTGCTCTAAGGAGATAAACGGTAATCTTCGAAAATCCATAATAAAAGTATTTTCTTCGGTTGGTAATTTTTTAGCATTAGTTAAAAGTGTAATTATTTTGTAAAATACCTTTAAAATTAAAATAAGACATAATAATTAACCGGTTTGCCACCTGGCCGTTCCAAGTTACCCCGTCTAAGGAGTAAAAAGTTCTAAATCATAAATCATATTTTGATCGTTATATACTAGATGAATGCTATAGCATCCACGTCAAATTAGTGACTATGAAAAAAAATTCAGTTTTAACTGAAGAGTAATCTTGCACGTTAACACGTTCGCACCCAATAAAAGTTTGAGTAGTCGAATTATTGTATTTTGATCGTTATATATTTATTAGATGAATGCTATAGCATTCACGTCAAATTAGTGACTATGAAAAAAAAAATCAGTTTTAACTGAAGAGTAATCTTGCACGTTAACACGTTCGCGCCCAATAAAAGTTTGAGTAGTCGTATTATCGTATTTTGATCCGTTATATACTAGATGAATGCTATAGCATCCACGTCAAATTAGTGACTATGAAAAAAGATGGAATTTCAACTGAAAAGTGATCTTGCACGTTAACACGTTCGCGCCCAATAAAAGTTTGAGTAGTCGAATTATCGTATTTTATCCACGTTAAGTTAGAGACTATGAAAAATGACGCAGTTTTAACTGAAAAATAAACTTGCACGTTAACACGTTCGCGCCCAATAAATGTTTGAGTAGTCAGAATATCATATTTCAATCGTAATCTTCTATATATATAAAAATAAGTCGGGTTTTCCTTCCAGACGAAATAACTCCAGAACGCACGAAACGATTTCGACAATTTTGCATTCGTTGGAAAGGTCTCGGGCTCCGCAAGGTTTATAGCTAAGAAAATTAGTCGTGCATGGCATCGTGCCCTAATGCAAATTGCTGGAACTTCACGCACCGTAATTGAAAATTCAAGTAATAACATTAGTGAGAATTTACAGAATTATGTTTCGTTAAGTCAACGAGCAATTCTTGCCGCAAAGAATAATGATGTACACGCACTGAATTTTACCATTCAATCAAAAATTTCTGGCGATTTGGTGACATACCAATGATTCCGACTGGTCTTCCGTTTGACTTCAAACGATTGCAATTTCCAGTTAGCCTTGCGTTTGCAATAACAAGTCGCAAAGCCAATCGCTTAGTGTTTGCGGGATAAATTTCAAATAGATTATTTAGAAAATCATTGTTTTTCACATGGGCAGTTATACGTTGCCTGTTCACGTGTTGGAAAACCATCCGCTTTGTTTGTGTTAACGTCAGGCCAAAAAACAAAAAAATGTGGTTTACCAAAGAGCACTTCAATGAAACGGATAATTTGCGGATTCACTTTCATTTACTTAGAGAAGTTCAACTAAAAAACACTTCATTTTTGTAATCGAAATAAATTCATTACTGTTGTATAATAAAATCTAATTTTTCCTTTTCAAATATAAAACAAACAAAAAATTTCTTCATCTTTCTCACGAAACCATCTGGTGGCGAAACGGAGTTCGTCGGGTCAGCTAGTAATAAATAAATATTCAATAATAATCATCAATCAATCAATTACACTTCTTACCTTGATTATTTATATTTTGATTAGCCATGCCAGGATTCAGTCCTTGGCCTATATTAGCATTTTGGCCCATCATTTGGCCCTGCATGCCAGCATTTCCCATACCTTGCACACCCATCTGGCCCATGTTCTGTCCGGGCATTTGATTCGCACTCATACCCGAGTTTATGGCCTGGTTTCCTGCCATCATGCCTTGATTTGCATTCATACCCATCGTATTTGGTGTCATACCTAAAAAAAATTTAAATAATAACTAGGTGTGTGTGGCACTTTGATGAAATTCTCAAGAGAATCCGCTGGGAATCATCTATAAAAAATCCAATAAAAATCTAATAAAAGCTTTATTAGAACCTAACAACATCCTGAAGAGAAATGTTTATAAAGAATGCAATAATATGTTTAAATGGCAATTATTATATACACTTTTAATGAATTTGTAGTAAACGAGCTTAAAGAAGTTTCACTTCAAAAAAATTAAATGGTGTTATTTGGCTTGTTGGGTATCGTTTGAAAGGTCTTTTTGAATAGAATCCGAATACTGCAATTAACTATGTGATTTGTCCATAAAATATACACGTTTGAGATATTTTATTAAACGAGCTTAAAGAAGTTTTACTTCAAAAACATTAAATTGTGGTTTTCCGGCATGTTGGGTCTGGTTTGAGAGATATTTTTGAATAGAATCCGAATACTGCAAATAACTATGTGATTTGTTCACAAAATGTATACTTTTCATGCATTTTTATTAAACGAACTTAAAGAAGTTTTACTTCAAAAATTTTAATAATATCTTGTATCGCTTGTGGGGTATCGTTTAAAAGGTCTCGACCAGTAGAAAACGATTTTAACAAAAAACTTATTTCATTGTACTAAAAACATTATAAACATAACCATATTTTATTCCACAAAACATTAGAATATTAAATTGGATTTTTTTTAAATATGTAAGGTGTAAACTCTTTGTTGCAAATACTAAAATTAACTATGTGATTTGTCCAAAGGATGTACACTTTTCATGCATTTTTAATAAACGAGCTTAAAGAAGTTTTACTTCAAAAATTTTAGAATGTATCTTTTATCGCTTGTGTGGTATCGTTTGAAAGGTCTCGACGAGTAGAAAACGATTTTCGTAAAAAACTAATTATATTGTACTAAAAATGTAATATTTTAATACAGAACATATTACAATGTTAATATTTATTGATTTTCTTTTCTAAATATGTAAGATTTAAACTCTTTGTAGCAAATACTCAAATTAACCATGTAATTTATCTATAATAATCTAAGTGGATTGAAGTTAGATTCATTCAAGAATTTATTTAGGATCTGTTATAAATTACAAAGGTAATCCCATAAGATTTGGCAAGAACCTAATAAGACCCTGATAAGAACCCATTCTGGTAAGAATCTATTAATTTCTGACATTCTTATTATGAGATTTAAGTAAGAACGAGATTTAAGTAAGAATTCAATTACATTCTAGCAATAATCACATAAAACTTAATTCTGTAATTAATTTAAATTAAATTTTAGATGTAAGATTAAAGTAAGACTCATTCAAAAATCTATTTAGGACCTAATTAAAATCTAGTAAGTTAAAGCCTGATCAGAATCTAGTTAGCCTCAAATACATATTTTAATCAATTTTCTAGGCAAGTTTTTTAAAAAAGTATAATAATTTCTTACCTGCTCGTAATTGCTGTCGGATCATATGTTGTCTTGGCCCCATAGCTGCTGGATATTGACCACCAGGACCTCCAGCCCCAACTGCAGGACTACCAGCTCCTGCTCCACTCGGCATAAATTGGTTCATAGGATGCCTTTGCCTCAACATATTGCTTATGGCTTGTTTTGAGTTGCTGGCTTGGGGTCTTTCGAATCGGTTCACTGGTAAATAAAATCAAGAAATTGAAGACAAAGAAAGAAAAATTTGGGGTAATTAACAGTGAAAACTGTAAAAATGTTTATAAGAAAGAATCTTATGATAACTGTATAATTGAAGATTTTGTGATCATAACATTCTTCCTTGCTTGTTTATATGTAAAATACGCCTAATCGCACGACAAACAAATTCACATTTTTCACTACCAATAAACAATCATAAAATAGCATTGCCATATGTTATGACCCAGAATTTCCTCATTCATCTAATTAATTATTACCTTGTGGTGTTGGTCCATAGCCATACTGTTGGCCCATGGGTGTCTGGGGATAACTCCACTGTTGCTGGCCAGTTTGTCCCTGTTGGCCAAATCCTTGGTGGGAGGACTGCTGTTGTCCAGCCATTCCTTGCTGGGCTTGTGCGTATTGCATTTGTTGCAATTGGGCATTCTATAATAGAAAAAAAAACTAAGAGTAAATGCCAAGTCGCATCAATTTTGTGTAAATTAACTTGATCAATAAAATATGGCATTTACCAAAAACGATGCCCAATAATAATTACAATTGCCACTGACACTCAGTGGCGGATCCAGGGGGTGGGTCACGGGGGCCATGACTCCCCCCGCCCTGAGCTTGTCTTAAGAGTTAGACATTTTATAACTTCAATATGTAACTTTACGAAATACAAACGGCGGAGTCAAAGACTCCTAAAATTTAACATCCTCATACTATAATTCAATTATGTGACCCCCCTGGAGCCAAAGCTGGATCCGCCACTGCTGACACTCCTACACACAGGTCGTCCTATCCATTTATTTTCCTATCCATTATTACCTGCATCTGCATCATGTTAGCATTAGGCTGCGGTTGTCCAACTCCACCAGCCATATGTCCTCCAACAGCCTGGCCGCCCTGCACACCGACCTGCTGCTGCTGATTCTGCTGATTGGCCTTGTTTTTTCGGGGCCTTCGGGTGCCTTTGCCACGGCCCCTGCCCACGGCCGGCGCCACTGGGCCGGGAACAATTCCTGGCCCTACGCCTCCGACGACGCCTCCAACCATGCCGCCGACGCCGACACCGCCTCCGACGCCCATCATCATCATGTTAGGGTTACCTGGGTAATAGATACGAGAAATTTAGAGAAAAGGAATCATTTGTCAGCAAAAGATTACGTAACAGACTGAAAATTGTAACAAAAATTTAGATTGTAAAAAATTGCGACAAAAAAAATTTTCGAATTTTGTTTACAAATTTGATTAGTATCAATTGTTTTTTTTTTCATTTGCAATAATATCATACATCGACCATATACTAAATGAACTGCAAATGTGCAATATAAGTGTCAAGAGAAAAAGACTGTGACGTCACTGGGTGAACGAGCGTTGCCGACAACCGTGGAACACTCCCGATTGATCAAATGTCATATGATATATAAACCAATTTTGACAGGTGGATTCGATTTCATGTAAATTAATAATATTATTAATATCATTTCTTACAAAATTATCAATTGCCATTATATTATTGAAATGTTCAAGGAATACTGAACGTTTTCAATTAGATTATTATTAATATTGTAATAAATTGCAAAGTTCAAATTATTTGTTTAAAGTTTATTATTAAATTATTTGTTAGAACTATAGTCAGAATTAAAAATAATATTTGAATTATTTTCGTTTCACAAAAAAAAAATTTTTTTTTAAAAAAAAAGTTGAAACAAAAAATTTTTTTTCCCGAAATCAATTATTTTGTTAAAACAAGCAGAAAGTTCTTTGGATTATTCAAATCGCTTCATTCATGTTCCCGAAATCGTCGACGAAAATTTGTATCCGAACACACACACATACATACATCCATTTTTTCTAAGGTACGCCAAAATGCTCAGAAGGTTTTGAAACGTAAAGATATATAAAAAATTTCTTTTTCGATTTTTTTGCGATTACTATAACTTGCCCTACGGAAAGTTAAAAAACATTCGATTGCTATTAATAGGGAGATGTACTGACTAGTTTTTGGAAAAGACAGGTCCAGCCGTTACGGAGATACGGAGCAAAGAGCGCAGCAAATACAAATCGAGTTTTTGAGAGAACGGAGTATCGGATTTAAATGATCTAAAAAACATTCAATTTATAATGATTGAGGAAAGAGTTGATTAGTTTTTGGCAAAGGCAGGTCCCGCCATTTCGAAGATACAGAACTAAATGTGAAAAGAATGGCAGTTTTTGAGGGAACTAAGCGTCCGATTTGAATGATCTAAAAAACTTTCTGCTCGTATTGACAAAACAATTGCTTTCGAGGATAAAAAATTATTACATCTTTTTTTATTTTCCATAAAATATTTTTGTAATTTTGGATTAAAAATTCAAAAAATCGCCCAGGCTAAGCACAGTCTGAGCGCCACTATGGTACAAATGTTTACCCAAGTGCGTTTAGACTGTTTATGTAGAGATTTTCCAATTTTGTGAGAAAACTATTGAAAAATGTGAAAATGCCGCCAAGCTAAGCACAGTATAAGTGAAAATGACGCACAGAATTATTGGCAAATGAGTTTAGACTGTGACTATACGGGAGCACTTTTTCACTTTTTGTGTAAATTAGGCAACTAAACTATTTTTTTTTGAAATTGATTTCGAAATGAAATGACGATTGTTAATATTCTGGAGATAAATTGATTTATGATTTATGATTTACATTTGATTTGCTCAGATATAACAAGATAGTTAAATAATATTTCAAAATTAAATAGTCAGTTAATAATAAACAGATTCTGAAAACTCTTGGAACGTTGTAAAATATTTTAGGCCTATTAGAAATTGTAAAATATTATAGGCCTATGAAAATAATAAAATATTATAGACCTATGAAATCAAATTAAATATTTCAAAACATGACTGCGCCCATTACAGATTTTGAAATATCAATAATAAAATAATAAAAACTTTTGTAAAATATTATAGGCTTAAGAAAAGTTGTGAAATACTAAGTATTTATTGAGAAAAAAACAACAGAACATTACAAAATTAGACTGCATGGTAATAATTGAAGTTTTCGCAAAAATTCACAAATTTTGAAAATTCGATGATAAAAAGCATAGTAAAATATTATAGGCCTAAATGACGATTGTCAATAGATGATAGGAGATAAATTGATTTATGATTTACATTTGATTTGCTCGGATATAACACAGATAGCAAAAATAATGAAAGTTACAGTATTTGTAATATAACGTTTAAAATTTCTCGAATATTTCATTACGGTACGTGAAGTTCCAGCAATTTGCCTTAAGGCACGATGCCACACACCACTAGTTATTTGTTTAAGATAATAAAAATACCGGTATTACCGGTTTTAAAATGAGAACTTATTGCAATACCGGTATTAAATTTTTTTTATCTATTAATCTATTATATATTTTATCTATTAATATTATTATACCATCCAAACCAACTGATTGCAAGACTCTACAATACCACACAATATAAGATTAAAAAGAATACAATTAATAAATCTAACATATTAATCAGTGATAAGTTGTTCTATAATATTATTTAAAATAGGTGTGTATTTTGTTTTGTTTTTTACTTTGTTCATAATTGTATGTATATTTGAGTTTCTTTTTTAACTTCCCGTACGGCAAGTTATAGTAATCGCAAAAAAATCGAAAATGAAAATTTTTGCATTTCTCGACGTTTCAAAGGTTTCTGAATATTTAGGCATACCTTAGAAAAAATGGATGTGTGTGTGTGTGTGTGTGTGTGTGTATGTATGTGCGGATACAAATTTTCGTCGACGATTTCGAGAACACCGATCAACCGATTTGAATAATTCAAAAAACATTCGATTCGTATTGATAAGGAGACGTGCTGATTAGTTTTTGGCGAAGGCAAGTCTAGCCGTTCCGAAGATACGGGGCAAAAAGTGCAAAAAACGGTAACTTAGTTTTTAAGAGAACGGAGCGTCCGATTTTAATAATTCAAAAAACATTTTTCTTGTATTGACAAGGTGAAGAACCGATCAAATTTTCATAAAGGCAGGTCTAGCGGTTTCGGAGATATAACAAAAAAAGTAAAAAAAAAATGCCATTTGGCGGTCAAAAATGATCATTAGACATATGCACATCAAATTATCAGATATTTTTTTAGAGATTTTAACAATAAGTATGAATTTGGTTTACATTCCTATGGGTTCCGTACCAATGTTTACGCGTTAGACGGCGACGCGGCGTTTACGCGCTTTGATATTTCGTCTTTATGCAGTTAAAGCAGTACGATTGCTTTGAAAAAATGTTTAGATCTTCCAAAATATGTCAAAATAAAGAAAAAAATTTTTGTCCAATTTATAGTTACTCAGAAATCTTATTTTTTCGAAGTAAAATTTTTTCAAAAATGTCAATCGTTTTTAAAAAAAATAATAATTTTTGGTACGGGAAGTTCCAGCAATTTGCCTTAAGGCGCGAAGCCTTAATTGCCTTAAGACAGAATTCCACTTACAGCTAGTTTTTCTTTATTATACCAAAATTATAATATAATTTAGTACACTAATAAAAGGTGAACCACTGGGCTTTCCTTTTATAATTTAATGTTATTTGTGAAACTAATTACTCAACGTCTTTCTATTCAGACAGATTGTAATTTATAAGAAAATAAAAAAAAACAAATAAAATAAAAAAAAATCTGTTCACACACACACATACACATATGCATACTTTTTCCAAATTTGGTCTCATTCGATTCAGAATGGCTTGAAACGTCCAGGAGAAAACCTAGAATTAGCGAATCGGATTTTTTGATGAAAACATAAACTTCTCCTTCGGGAAGTTAATTTATATTACTATGAAAATATATTAATATTATTATCTTACCCATCATGGGGTTCCCAGGCATCATCATCCCAGGCATAGGTCCAGCATTAATAGGCCACCAGGCATCGCGCCTACGGGCATGTGTCCTCCAGGCATCATCATGTGTGCAGGATGAGGCGATTGGTCGATGGACGAAGACGAAGGCGTATCCGATTTCATGTCTCCGCAGCAGTCGGCAGGCCGAGACTGGCGCAGGTTGCAGGAAACACAAAGACAAGACTTTTGTTAATTTAGGGTATAGATGATTTGTCCGGGAAAAAATGTGTAAGGGAAATGATAAGATTTGTTTGATAATAGAGAGAGAATTGTGGAAATAAAATTTAGGCGCAATGTACAAAAAAATGCAACAACGCACAACCAAATAGCTGTTCGCTTCATACAGGGCAATAAAACACATTTACCCAAAAATATTAGGTATTATTTTCAGTACAAGTTTAAGGGGGTCTTCCTATGTGACGGCCTGTTTTTTAGGGATATTTTAGAATTTTTTTTCTACGACCAGTAAATAGTTAGAGCTTCAAGTTTTTTATCATTTATTAATACATATTTGGATAGTATAAACATAAAATTTTAGCTAAAAAAATTTAGTCCAACTAGAGTTACAGCGCTCTAAACACCCCCCCCCTCAAAAATGAGCTCCCACTGTCTCCACGATTCCGGCTGATCGGCTTATCTGACCAAAAAAAATAAACGGCTTTTTAATTTGTAGGCTTAAGAGCACGGAATGAACTACAATCAAATGAATCCAAAAAAAATTGGATGTTTTATAGACATTTGAAATAAAAGTTGCAAATTAGGCGGTTTTTTTTTTTGTTTTTTTGCTATAAAAAATCGAAGTTTTGAAATTTTTGATTGATAATAGATCATTCCATGCGTTTAAATATATTGAATGTGCCCTGTAAATTTCAAGTAATTCGGTCCAGCCGTTTCTGAGATACAATGGAGACAAGTTTGAAAAACACAGTTTTGAGAAAAACGCGTTTAAAGATAAAATGATCGTTGTACTATATACTATATGTATACTTTTTATATGGCTGTAACTCAAAAACTATTTGAGATATCGATTTGAAATTTTAATATTATTTTTAAAGGTATAATCTACCGAAATATAAAATAAAAAAAAATTCAATTTTTTCAACTCATCACATAGGAAGACCCCCTTAAGCGTCAATAAGAAAGGACATAATAAAGTACCCGCGGAACTCGCGAAACCAGTTAAATTTAAAACAAAATAAGCTAAATTATGTATAACTAAATCATAAGTAAATAAATTAGTGAAACAAATAAATCAACAAGAGTTTCATTATAAACCCAATTTTACATTTATCGGAAATGTCCCATGAGCAATAGGTTGGTCCTTAATAGGATTATGCCGGTCAAATCGAAAATGTTACAAAAATTGTAGATCTGATAATTTATGTGTTCGGACGACTTTTCGTTTTATTATATTGGCCATGAAGGTGACAAACTTCAGGGCATAAAGCTTTATGCAAAATGGTTGCTAGCCCTGGTAGCATAGAGTGTTTTAATTGAACTAGTTGTTCACTTCAAATAAGTAAAGTCCGCTTAACAACATGTAAATAACCAAATAAAAATAAATATATCTTCTTTCATTATAACTTAGTGACAAATCAGTGATTGTAATTAGAACTGCAACAAATACATAATATACAAAACAAATCAGTGTTTAATACAGTCCACAGCTACAAGGGTTAACTTATAACCCAACAACCTAAATTATCGAAGGAGAGTTTTAATAAATTTTATAACTACGTAACAAAAAGAACATTATGTTTGTCCATTAGGGTGGTCCTTAATATGGTTGTTTTTGAGAATTTCCTTCTCCCCAAGGGCTCAAATGCTTCCAAATTGATAAAAGAAAAATCTCTGAAAGTTTTAGCTCTTAATATTAACTTTAAGATAGACATTTTCATAATTTTCACTACCAAGAACAAGCATAATATAGGATTGCCATGACAACACTATTTTATGAGCTCTGTTACCTACAGAATTGCCTCATTAATTCATCAAAATGTATGTTTTCAGATATAATATTTATCTTATATATAAAAATGGAGCTCTCGATCAAATGATCCGCTAAAACTCGTAAACGGCTAAACCGATTTGGCCAGTCTTAGTCTTGCAAAATTCGTGCTAATCAATAGGTTGTCCAAAAGGTGAGATATTATTTCAAAACCGCCTAGAAACTTTACATTTTTAATTTAAATTTTTTTGTAGAAGCGTAATTTGAATAAAACAATGAACGGTGGCTAATACGTCAAATGTCAAATGTTTTTGACAGATGATGTTCAATTACGTTTAATAGGATGTTTTACATGAATATTATTTATTGTAGTAAGTAGTTTTGTTCGTACTTATATTCATACACAAAAACGTTATTAAACGGGCCTCAAGTGTTACTATAAACTCAAAATATCAACTTTTTTGAAATATTAATATAAAAATGCACTTTTTGGCATATTTTTCTCAAACACGGTGCTCTGAAATATCTAATTTGTATAATTATATACTCATTGGTATTTATAAAACATTTTCTAGGTTATATATTATTTTTTATTTATCATTAAAGTATTAATATTTTTGATTCTCTAGAAATTGTTTAGAATTGACCTTACTTAACAAAACAACGTTTGCCGGGTCAGCTAGTATAAAATATTTTTTTCATTAAATTTATAAACGCCTCTCTTTTCATTTTTGTGCTCGAATTTAAAAAAGAACTAAAATATCATAAATATGTTGTTTAAATTATTAGCCTCATTACATTTTCAAATATACTCTTAAGTCTATATTATTTGAGATTAACTTAAGAATATATTATTTATTAATTTTAGATATTAATTAGTTGTATATTCTTGCATCCTAAACATTCTAAGAATATTTAGAAATGAAATAATTATTAAATACAAGGCCTCATCACAAAAACTATTTAAATAGTTATATAATTTGTCATTCATAATTCGTATCAATTAACACTAATTGTATTAAGACAATTATTAATAAAATTTCTACAAGAACTAGAATTTATTTTAACATTAAATGCATTAAAAATTTGGTTTATAAAAAGCAATAAAACGCCTTGTGCAAAAATATTAAAAAAATCAACAAAATTCATAAAATTCCAAACAAATTCAAAACTATGCTCGCAGAACACATTAATAATTTATGAACATTTTTATATATATATATATATATATATATATATATATATATTACGGTGGTCCTTAATATGGACATTATTGGATTTCTTTGCTTCTGAGGGCTCAAATGCTTCCAAATTATTAAAAAAAATCTCTAAAAGTTTTAGCTCTTAATATTAACTTTAAGAGAGTCCGCACTCCAACATGGGTACAATTCCATTTATTTTATAAATCAGCGACAAGTGAATCAAAATTTTAAGAATAACATTGTATTTGCGTATTCTGATCATAAATAAAAAAATTACAACAAAAATTTGATGTAACTCACAGTTTTCTCAGGTACAGGTTCCAGATCCTCCGGAGGCAAAGGCAACGGGTCCAAATAATGTGAAGGAGGCTTTTGCAGACCGTGAGTGTGATATTTCAATAACCTATGAGCCTCCTCGTACCTCAATGGTTTTCTTTCCATTTTCACAGCCCCAAACCAGGCCCATGATAAGGGCGCAGGGTTTTTGTGACCTTCGAGCAAATCCCAGGCACTTATACGCTGTTTGTCTGATAGACGCAGACCCTGATAATAAAAATAATAACAATATATATATATATATATATATATATATATATATAAATATTAAGTATAAATAGATCGCAAACACGTTGTTTTGCCATTACTTCAATTTTAGTTGTTACCCCACTCCATAGAGTGCGCCACCAACTGTAACATGTAAATTTACCCCCAGAGTTAATTCTAGATAAAATTTATATAAATATATAATATAGCAAAAAATAGAAAAAGAAAGAACCTCGTAAAATATTATAGGCATATGAAAATAATAAAAATATTTTCCCAAAATAGTTCTAAATAAATCTAGAGAATCTATTATTAACAGATTTGATGTTCTAAGGAAAATTGTAAAATATATTAGGCCTATGAAAATAATAAAATATTACAAAATTAAACAGAGAGCTAGTTAATTCAAATTTACGCAAAAAATTCACAAATTTTGAAAATTCAATCATAAAAATCTTAGTAAAATATTATAGGCCTAGGAAAAGTTGTAAAATATTAGAGGCCTATGAAAATAATAAAATATTTCAAAATCAATAAGTCAGTTCATGAAAAATCAGAAACAGATTTTATAAATTCATTGGCAATAGACTTGCGATTTAAAATAATCCTCGTAAAATATTATAGGCCTGTGAAAGCAATAAAATATTTAACTAGGCACTAGTTAATAAATGTTCTTGCAAAAAATAACAGATTTTGAAATTTTGACAATAAAAAACATAGTAAAATATTATAGACTTGTGAAATTGGTTAGTAATGAAGACATTTTAAAAACTCTTGGATAGTTGTAAAATATTATAGGCCTAATAAAAGTTTTAAAATATTATAAGCCTATGAAAATAATAAAATGTTTCAAAATATGAATGCGCGTTAGTAATTAATTAACGTTTTCGCAAAAAATTACTTAAGAGATTTTGAAATTTCAATAATAAAAACCTTATATAGTAAAATATTATAGGCATAAAAAAAGTTGTAAAATATTAGAGGCCTATTCAAATAATAAAATATTTCAAAATATTATTTTTGTCTTTAATTTCAATTTGCTTGTCAGTAGAGTCCCTTTTATGTTTTTACTGATTCCAAAAAAAATCTAGTT